ATGCCCTATGCAATTTTATAAACCTCTATAAGGTCACCCCCCAGCCTCCAACACTCGAGGGAAAATAGCCCCACAGCCTATTCAGCCTTACCCTATAGCTCAAACCCTCCAACCCTGGCAACATCCTTGTACATCTTTTCTGAACTCTTTCACGTTTCACAACATCCTTCCTACAGCAGAGAGACCAGAATTGCAGCAGTATTCCAAGAATGACCTAACCAATGTCCTGTATGGCCACAACATGACTCCCAACTCCTATACTCAATGCACTGACTAATAAAGGCAAGCATTCCAAACACCTTCTTCGTTATCTTATCGCCTGCAACTCCACTTTCAAGGAACTATAAACCTGTGCTCCAAGGTGTCTTTGTTCGGCAGCACTCCTCAGGACTTTATCATTAAGTGTGTAAATCTTGCCCTGATTTGCCTTTCGAAAATGCAGCACCTCACATTTGTCTAAATTAAACTCCATCTGTCCCTCCACGGTGCATTGGCCCATCTGATCAAGATCCTATTGTACTCTGAGTTAACCTTCTTTGCTGTCAACTACATTTCCCAATTTTGATGTCATCTGCAAACTTACTCCTATGTTCACATTCAAATCATTTATATAAATGATAAAAAGCAGTGGACCCAGTACCAATCCTAGTGGCACACCACTGGCTACAGGCCTCTGGTCTGAAAAGCAGCCCTCCACCACCACCCTCTGTCTTCTACCTTTGAGCCAGTTCTATACCCAAATAGCTAGTTCTCCCTCTACTCTGTGTGATCTAACCTTGCTAATCAGTCTACCGTGAGGAACCTAGTCGAACACTTACTGAAGTCCATATAGATCATGTCCATCACTCTGTCCTCATCAATCCTCTTTGTTACTTCTTCAAAAGAACTCAATCAACTTAGTGAGACACGATTTGCCATGCACAAAGCCATGTTGTCTATCCCTAATCAGCCGTCCAACAACTTGCCCACCACTGATGTCAGGCTTTTCCTTACCACCTTTCTTAAACAGTAGCATCATGTTAGCCAACCTGTAGTCTTCTGGCACCTCACCTGTGGCTGTTGATGATACAAATATCTCAGCAAGGGACCCAGCAATCACTTCCCTAGCTTCCCACAGAGTTCTAGGGTTCATCTGATCAGATCCTGGGCATTTATCCACCTTTAAACATTTTAAGATGTCCAGCACCTCCTCCTCTGCAATATTTAACCTAATTTACTCCATGTAGTATCAATAAACAGCTGGAGACATTTAATACAGTGAAGGCTGTGGGCCCCTGACAACATGACCCTTGGCAATAGTACTGTTGACTTGCGCTCCAGAAATACTTGCAGCCCCAAGCAAGTTGGGAATCTCTACTTTTGGAAATCTTACCTAGCATAAAGGAAGATGATTGTGGTTATTGGCAGTCAGATATCTCAGCTGCTGTACTGGAGCTCATCAGGATAGATATTTTCTGATCAACCCGTTCTGTGATATTAATACACCCATTTGGACCATGTGGGGATGTGAACCTATGCCACCTCATGAAAGAAGAAACATTTCTTTTCCTTATCAACTTTCCTCCCCATCCTCTTGTCTGCCGTCATCAGCATCATAAAACAAAGAACTGCGGCTGCTGGAGATGTGAAACAAAAACAGAAATTGCTGAAGCAATTCAGCAGGTCTGGAGGCACCCATGGAGAGTAAGCAGAAATTAACGTTTCGAGTCCAGTGACTCTTCACCAGAAAGGTGCATTCTGCTTTCTCCCAAAGATGTTGCCCTCTTCATCAGTGTCCCTCCTTACCTGTCTTTCGGACCGCCGCCGCCCTCTGCTGTCCACAATGTGCGTTGTAAAACACCCATCTCCTCTACCAGCTGCAGATTTAACCTACAGCCTTTCACCCCAGCGCTGCTCCATTTAAAGAATTTCTTCGTAAACTTTCCTGACGAGACTCTGTCCTACAATAACGGTAGGGAAGGAGGGGGCGGGGGATCCGATTTCGGAAATAAGATATTTGCTATTAATGTGTTGGGCTTCCGCCCCAGAAGCTGCCGCCATGGAGAGCGATGAATTCTATTCTCAGCTCTTCTAACATATTCCTTAAAACTTTCAAGTTCTTCCTTCAAGGTTTTGCTCACCTATTCAAATGTTCTCGTAATGTGATCTTGTGTCAGTTTTTGTTTTAACAACTGCAAGAAAGGGCACTAATAGTACGTTTTAAAATTGTGGCTATCAGATGAAGAAGTTGTCTTTCAAAGCTGAGCAGTTTTTCACACAACAAAAGGTCCAAATGATAAAAGATTATAAAAAGGTCAATGATACCACCTCGACTGTTCGTTGAGGAGAGGTACCAGGAGCCTACAGCCAGTACTGTCAGAACTACATTCCAGGATGTAGTTAAGGATAGAGGAAAACTGAACTTTAATCAGCCTTATCAAACGGAAGGTTCACTAGGTTTTTAATAAAACCGTTCTTTCTAAACTCATTCTACAAAATAGGTGGCGACATAGTCGATGTGGGCAGCTGTTCTGCACACTGTATTCCGACATCGACATTTCGCGCTGTCTTCCCCGCTCTCCCTGCTGCAAACCCTTTAGGAACATATTTGCTAGTCCGCTGACATCGTGTGTGGTGAATGCGATGGCGAGCTGGTGTTTCACACAAACTGCCGGACATTCGCGCCCTCCAAATAGAGGGGGGTGCAGTTCCTTGGAGTTAGACTAGCTCAGTCCGATAACGAAATAAAAACTGAAAAAACTGCGGATGCTGTAAATCGAGATTATCCAGCAATTTTAGTCTGCTAACTGGTCAGTTGCTCAAACAATGAACTGTGTCATCCACGCAGAACGTAAGATGAGAATTATGTATTTACCTATATCTAGATTGTTCGCTTTTGAGATTGTGATAGGTTTTGAAAAGAGTAAATTCTCCCGGAGAAAGTGGGTGGGAGTGGGGGGGGGATCAGTTAATGACCGGGTTGGGGAGAGGTCACACATTTAACAAAGGAACTGCGAGCTAAGACAAGAATTTATCCTAAACGCAGCAAGCTATGAGACGGAACATACTGAAAAGATGTTGGGGAGCGGATTCTATCGTAAATTTCGAAAGCAAATTCGATTAAAAGGGGAAAAACTGCACAACATGAGTGAGACTCGTGGCCACTAGTTCCCACTGAGCTACACGGATGTACAATTCACCGACTTGTCTTTGGACTTCCAAAATAGGTAAGCCGTTTCACAGAGACATTGAAATGGACAGCACACAGCAAGCGTTCAGAAATAGTACTGGCTAGACAGGTACTGTGCGATAGATGGACAGGGAAAACAGTCAGCTGTGACTGACACCCGAAGGTTGAATTACGGCCTCCTACCTACCTCTGGCTGACAACTTTCAGTAAATATACAGTTCTGATTCCGTTCATTCTGAGCGTTGGTCTCGAAAGTTTTTGACTGAGTCTTTTGATGCGGAACCTGATACCTTAACACCTGAATGGCGATGTGCTTAATATGTATTCAATGTTAGTATGTATTCAATAGGAGCACATCATGTACTCTCAGAGCTAACCTCTCCCAAAAGACTGCGCATCAATTAAGTTATGAGTCACACTGGAATCCCGCAGTAAATTTACCGCTTCCCAAGAGAAGTTCAAACGTTTGAAGCCAAGTTAACTTGCTGTCTGACAGAGATTCGCACAGCAATAACTCAAATCCTCCACTGAATTTTTGCGTGACTGGAACAAAGAACAGGGCACTGCAGGAATTTTACACATCCCCAGACAGTAATGTCGCTGTCAGAATCAGTAGTTGAAGATCTGAAATGTTGATATATCAATTTATATGAACGTATATGAATATTCCACATGTAGGAACTAGGAATAGTCCCATGAAATTTGGAGGTGACAGACTGAAATTATACTAAATTGCGAAGGTAACCGAAGACGAGGGGTTATGAACTATTAGCAAATGAGCAACGGCTGTAAACGCCAAGTAATCTAATTCACGTCCTCGATGGGCCTTGCGCGTAAATTAATCAACTGGAAAACACCGGTGATTTTACTGGTGGTAATCAGTAGATGAAATTTTAAAAAAACCCACCGCGGATGATTTGGTGGTGGACAAAAACCGTTCAGTGTATAAGAGCACTTCTGGATATTAAAAAAAAGTACTCGACTAAGATAAGCGAAAGGAAATAAAAACCAAAAGAACTGCGGATGCTGCAAATCACGAACAAAAACAAAGTTGCTGGAAAAGCTCAGCAGGTCTGGCAGCATCTGTGAAGGAGAAAACAGAGTTAACGTTTCGGGTCCGGTGACCCTTCCTCAGAACTGTTTGTGTATAAGCGAAGTCGTCCACTTTTTGTGTATGGATTTTCATAAAAGGAGCTTTAGTTCGCAGAAATATGGGTATTAAAGTCGGAATAAATAGAGACGCTAATAAAAAAGACAAAAAACTGTTTCGTATTATGCGACGGAAAGGAGTAATTATAGAGGCAAAAATAGAAATTGCTAGAAAAACTCAGCAATTCTAATAGCATCTGTGGGAAGAAAGCAGAGTTAACATTTCGGGTCCAGTTACTCTTCTTCAGAACTGAGTTATTATAGCATTTATATGAGTTTGGTTGCTCTCCGAAGCACTTCGCAACTTTCTACAGACAGCGTTAAAGCTAGCGAGAAGGTGCAGGGCAGTTCTCCACGGGGATTGGTGACGTGAAGGGATAGTTGAGAATGGCAGCTTTTCTTAGCACGGTAAAGGCTACGACTGTTCTTCCCAGGCCTTCAACATTTTGAAGAGCTAAACGATCTGGTAAATAGATTGTTTCTGCTAGTCCACAAGTTACTCAGAAAGAGGATGCGTGTGTTTGGGAAATTTGGCAGAGGTACTTTGAAAGTGCTCTACACAAATGAAGCAGTTGCAATCAAAGAAGGTGAACGTGATTAGCCCGGACAACTCACAAAAGCTTCATTATTTACGACAGAAATCTCTCAGGTCAAGCAATCATTTTAAAAAAGACAATTTCAGGATTGTGACATAAAAATTTATGTTATTAGCATCCACAGTGTGAGTTATATGCATGAATGAGCAGAATAATTTACAGCAGTCATGTACAGTGACAGTTATATGTAACATCAATCTGTTACAGAATTTGAACAGGCAGTGAAACTAAATACAGATTGCATCAGACAAAATTCAAATTAACCAGGTTTGTCGGAGGAAACGATGCCTTAATACACAATCAAATGACACCTTCCTCAACTTCACATCTTAATGACGAGATACATTTGTGTTACATTGACTTCACAGCATTTAACGAGAGTCAGGCACATCACAAGGGGTGGGGGGTTGTGTGTGTCTCTACATTTGTATCTGTGCCAACACCACAAACAGCCCGAATACACAACGTGTCTGTCACAATAGTGAAATATAGATGAGCAAAACAGGCTCAGTTCTGAAGTGCAGTCTAAGTTCAGAATTGAATTATAATGTCGGTTTAGCATCATAAGGATTGTCTCTTCAGTAGGCACCAGCTTTCCACAACATTTTCTTATTTTACTTCAACTTCCACGTTTCCATTGTTAGTATATAATGTGTGTATATGTTAACAAGCTGTATCATACAGGCTGAGACGCTGACAGCTGCAGTTTGGTTTTAATCTAATCCTAGATTGCTGTGTAGGCCAGGTACTAGTTATTAGGGCACACTTCACGACTCCATAAATCAAGAGTTTTTCTTACTGGCCATTAACTACCAGGGGCACTAGGTGAGTTGTTTAAGGCAAATCTTTCTTTTAAGTGGGTATCAACAACAGTTCAGTGGGATCACCGAGAGACTGCTTAAAAATTCAGGATGGACTTCAGAGAAGACTCTTCATCCAATGTGAATGCAAATAAAACATTACCCAACGTAGAGAAAGGCTGGTCCCCCAAAAAAAAACATTTCCACCAATACATCGACACTTGCTCCCCATCCTCAGTCCCGCAACTCAAACGGATTACATACAAATAAAAAAAATTACCGGAGTTTCTCAAAGCTACTGAACATTCACACCGAGTAGTAACAGTGACTGAATAGGAAGCATTTGTAATTGTAAAAGATGTTGTCCCTTCCAGCAGAGCTAGATGACAGTTCAAATTTCAGTGCAGTTCAGCTTGCATACTTCCCGTGAAAGCAACTCTTGTCAATGTGTATTTGAAGAAATAGTTTTGTGACATACAACTGAACATGAATTCTCAAAGGAACTGTTTCACGTCAAAACGGTAGCGTCTTCGGGCCCTCTCGCTGGGTTGTGAAACCGGGATCGGTTGAAGTTAAGACTCAGCTTTCGCTACATGGGCAAATTCTAAGGCGTGAATTTGAAGGGAACCCGGTTAACTGCTGAAACTCCGGTCCAAACGTGAGCTATATTCCGCCGCGTGTTCTGACACATGTTTCCAACTCCCCGGGCGAATACCGAGAACGGGGAGGGTACACCGGGGAGAAGGGAGAGATGTGACAACTTTTGGTGGCTTTTCATCCTGTTGAGGAACGGTCCCGAAACGTTAACTATCGATTTCTCTCCACAGGTGCTGCCGGACCTGCGGAGTTCTTTCCCGTAAATTTCTGTTTTTGCATTCATTGGGATGTTGTGTTTGGATGATATTTGGGGGGTGGGAGAAGGGACATTGCTCGGTGGATTTGGATGTGGGCGGGGGGGGGGGCGTTGTGGGGCAAGATGACGGTCACGCTGGGGAGACGATGCCTCGGTGCTTGTCCTTCAGTTTGACCGACAGGGTGAAGGCCTGCGGCCGAACGGTCAGCCCGTAGGAGCAGCCGGTGCCCAGCTCCTCGGCCGGGTTGGCCTGGAAGACGCACTGGTGCAGCAGGATGGCGGTGAAGAGGAAGAGCTGCGTCTTGGAGAGCTGCTCGCCGAGGCACCGGCGCTTGCCGGCCGAGAACAGCATCACGCTGGCGGCCAGCTCGCGGTCCAGGCTGCCGTCTCGGCGGAGGAAGCGGGCGGGCTCGAAGGAGCCGGGGTCGGTCCACTTGCGGCGGTCGTGGTTGACCGACCACTGGTTGACGAAGACCACCGTGCCGGCTGGCAGCTGGTAGCCGCCCAGCTCGACGGGGCCCGTAGTGGCGTGCGGGATGGTCAGCGGCACGAAGCTGCTGAAGCGCAGCGTCTCGTAGATGAACGCCTCCAGCCAGGGCAGGCGGCGCCGGTCATCGGCCCTGGGCAGCCGCTCCCGGCCCACCACGCGGTCGAGCTCCTGGCCCAGGCGGCTCTGCAGGCCCGGCAGGCGCACCAAGTGGAAGAGGATCCAGCTCAGGGCGGTTGAGGTGGTGTCCTGGGCCGCCCCCAGGAGGTCGTTGACCGAGCTCTCCGCAAACTCGGGGTCCAGGCCTACCTTCTCGTCGCCATCGTCCTCCTCGGCTTTCCCGCCTTTACCCGGCATGCAGCGCTCCACCCCCGCGATAAAGGCGTCGCTCATGTCCCGGGTGACTCCCGGCCGGTAGGTGGCGCGGTTGCGGGCGACCTGCCGGCTGACGAACTGGAAGAAGCCGCTGTTGAGCTGCTCGAAATCGCGGTAGAGCCCGCGCACCGGGTTGGGGAAGGCCCGCAGCCAAGGCATCACGTCGAGCAGGCTGCCGGCGCCCACCGCGCGGCTGAAGCGCTCGCTCAGGCCCAGCAGCCGCCGAAACTCGCGGTCCTCGTTGGCGCACCGACGGCCGAAGCACAGCAAGCACATGACGTTGGCGGCGGCGAGCGCCAGGTCCCGCGCCGGCTCGAAGGGGCGCCCGGCCGCCCCCAGCCTCAGGAAGGCCTCGATGAGGTGACACGCCTCGCTCGACACGCACTGCTCCAGCAAGCCCGGGCTGCCGCCGCAGAAAGCCCGCAGGGTGCTCTGAGCCAGGCGCCGGTGCAGCCGCCACTGGTCGCTGTAGCGGCCGAAAGGCAGGCTCTTGCCGCCCGACACCAGGCGGAACGAGGCGAAGTCCGGCCGCCCGGCGAACTGCGCGCTGCGTTGCACTAGCGCCCGGCGGATGGTCGCCTCGCCGTTCAGCACCACCACCCGGCGGCGCCCCAGGTGGATCTGGAAGAGGTCGCCGTAGCGCCGCGCCATGCGGGCGAAGGTCAGGTGCGGCGAGTCGCCCAGCTGCAGGGCGTTGCCCACCAGCGGCCAGGGAAAGGGGCCCGGGAGGCTCCGACCCCCGCTACTCCTCCTCCTCCTCCAGTCCCGCAGCCAGCGGCAGGCTTCTAGGCAGAGCAGCAGCAGCAAGGACAGCCACAGGATGGGCTGCACCTGCAGCCTCCTGTCCCCTTCACTCCACCCCAGAACAACATCCATGGGCGAGGATTCCCTCCCTCTCTTCACGCTGACCCAGGAAAGTGTCTGTCGCTGGACTCCTTGTACTCAGAGCCCAAACTCTGTAGCACACAACACCGACCTGTGCACTTCCAAGTCCTCCAGAGATGGTTGGCACACGATTTGCTTTCACCTCCCCATCCCAATTCTTCTCTGCTCCTGCTTGTTCTTCCACCAAACTTTCTTCTCAATGCCAATCCTCGTGTTGAAGCGGTGATGCACTTTTCCCTTTCCACTCCTTGTCACCTTGTTGCTTGTAGTTTTGTGGCTGAGCCTCTTGCAGGAACTGTCTTGCTCCTGAGCTGTAACGAACTCCAGTCAATGTTCCGCTCCGAAGCGCTGAGGTTTTGGTGTCTAAGGGAGAGGGGTTTCCCGTTTATAAAGAGTGCGAGGACCCGCAGATTGCCCTCCCTTTCCAACTGTCTTCACTCCATTTCATCCGGTTACGTGATGTCAAACCAATGGGAATAAAACGGCTCCGGGGTTGGAAGATCCGGCAGACTCCCCTTTCTCCCCAACATCAGCGCGATCATCTTCGGTTCTGATCCCCCGGAGTGGGAGAATATCTCCTCCCCTTTAAAGAGGCCACACCCGCGGCAGCGTCTCCCGCCCCCTCCAAAGCCGCAGTATCGGTGACGGCCCAGCAGGCCGACCTTAAAGAACGCGTGAAAGTAACTGAAAAATGATTATGTCCGAGGTAACTGTATTCCGCAAAAAAAACTTCAACCGGAGCCGCGGGATAGTATTAATTAATTAATCTCTTAAATCTGCTGGAGTTCGTTCTGGGAAATTCTTGTCAGAAAGAGCTCGCATTTATAGTGAGATTTCATATCCAGATAAGTACTTTTGATGCACACACGCAAACAACACCGATCGTGGACAGATAAACCTTTTTCTCCATGCCGGTTGAGGGGTAAATATTGTCAGGTATTTTTCTCCTGCCCTTCTTCAAATGAACGCTATGGCATTGTCTTACCGTCAGACGACAGCTCAGACTTCAGTCCAAGGTCTCAGCTGAAAGCTGGCACTTCCACCAACGCAGCATAGCTCCAGTACTTCGCTGGCTTGGTATTTGTTTTAATGACAGGGCATCATTCTCCCTTCTGAGTCAGACTGCTTGGGTTCCAGTGCCACTCAAGGCTGCAGTAGTAAGAGTGTTGTTACTTAGTTGGGGGTGCTGTCTTTAGGATGAGAAGTCAAGCTAAAGCTCCATTTCTCGCCCTCAAAGTGATGTAAATGATTTTACAGCAATATTTTGAAGAATAATGGGCTGTTCTCTATGGTGCCCTGGCCAATATGTATCCCTAACCTCAAAAAAAAAGTTGATGTGATCGTTATCACATTTGTGATTTATGGGAGTTTGTTGTGCACATTTGCACTGCGTCACGTTTCTTACCCGTTGAGTTAAAGTTGACGAGGAGATTTCGGAATACACTAAACAGATACATCCCAATGAAGAAGAAAAATTCCAAGGAGAGGATCCATCATCGGTGATTAACTAACAAAACTACAGATAATATCATACTTAAAGCAAAAGTATATTATTACGCAAAGATGGACGGACGTCAGAAGATTCAGCAGAATATAAAACAAAGCGAATAAAAGACTAAAAATGTATGAGGGGAAAGTTAGAATACAAAGGAAAGCTAGTTAGAAATATTAAAACAGATACCGAGTTTCTATAGATATTTAGAAAAGCAAAGAGCTAAGGTGAACATTTGTTCTATGAAAGGTAGCCTGGGGAATCAATTATCATCATCATCATTGGCATCCCTTGCAGACGAGGATGACTCTCTTCCACTCTCAGGGTGAGTCCATAGGTGGTTTTACAGATCAATGTGGCTTCCATGGGTGCAGTTACACTTGGGGCAGAAGGGATCATGGGGTGGGTGGAGTGTTTGTGTGGCAGCATGCTCCTTAGGCTGTTTTCGCCTTGCTTCAGCTTTTTCCGGATGGCACGTGGTGCTTGACGCCTTCCCAAATGCTCCTCTGCCACTTTGATTCCCAGGTGTCTGTGGGAATGCTGCACTTCTCCAGTGAAGCCTTAAGGGTATCACTGAAATGCATCCTCTGTCCACCTGGAGCTCACCTGCCATTTCAGAACCAGGACTAGAATGCCTGCTTGGGGAGTCCCATGTTGGTCATGTGGATGATATGCCCAGCCTATTGTAGCTGATCAAAGGCTGTCAGTGCCTTGATACTGGGGATATTGGCCTAGTCGAGGATGCTGGTGTTGGTGCATCTTTCTTTCCAGCGGATTCGCAGGATCTTGTGCAGGTAGCGTTCGTGGTACTGCTTCAGAGCCTTGAGGTATCTCCTGTACACAGTCCACATCTCAGAACCAAGTAGGAGGTTGAGAACCACTACAGCTCTGTAAACCATGAGCTTGGTTTTAGATCTAATGTTGTTCTTGAACACCTTTTTCCTCAAGTGGCTGAAGGCTGCCGAAGATCATGGGAGGCAGTGCTACATCACTCTGTGAATAGCTGCTTTGGTTGACAGGACACTCACAAAGTATTGGAAGTAGTCAGTGTTCTCTAAGGCCTCCCCATGGATTTAATGGTCAGGGACTCTCTTCATAATGCTAGGCCAGGTTGATGGAGGACCTTCATCTTATGGATGTTCAGGGTGAGACCCATGCTCTCATGCTTCTGTAAAAGTGCTGACGATGGTCTGCAGTACATCCTCTGAGACTGCATATACACAAGCATCATCCACATATTGCAGTTTGGTGACACCAGTTAGAATGACTTTGGTTTGAGCTTGAAGGTGACAGAGGTTGAATAATAAGTTAGCACCATGCCAGCGGGAAGTTTGTCGGCAGTGAGGTGAAGCATCGCAACGTGGTGGATTGAGAACAGTGTTGGGGCGATGACGCAGCCTGCTTGACACTGGTCTGAACATGGAATGGGTCGGTGGTGGAGCAATTTGTCATTGCCATGACTTCCATGTCATTGGTGAAGGATAGTGACAAGCTTCCAACCAAAGTGGAGAAGGACATTTCATAATGTTTCCCCATTGACGTAAAAGAAGGCTGTGTACGGGGGTAGAGATAGCAAGAACAGCAGATGGTGGAGTTAGAGACAACAGTGTGGAGCTGAAGGAACACAGTAGGCCAGGCAGCGTCAGAGGAGCAAGAAAGTTGACATTTCGGGTCAGGACCCTTCTTCAGAAATTTTCTGAAGAAACTTTCTGGAGAAGGGTCCCGACCCGAAACATCAAATTTCCTGCTCCTCTGATGTTGCCTAACCTGCTGTGTTCCTCCAGCTCCACACTGTTAACATGTACAGGTGTAGGTTCTTTTCTTTGTATTTCTCCTGTTGAGTCGTGAAAATCATGTCTGTTGTGCCCTCTGTGGCCAAAAGCCACACTGCGATTCCATAAGGATGCCTCAGCCACAGGGAGTAGTTGGTTGAGGAGGACCTTGGCGATGACTTAATTCATTGTTTATTAATTATTAACTAATAATAGAAAATAAAATGACGGCAGATGAATTGAGCAGGTATTTTGCATCAGTCTTCGCAACAGGATACAAGTAACATCCCAGAAACAGAGGTATATCAAGAAATTGATGGGAACAAGGAACTCATGTAAATTACAATCACCAAGGAAGTGATATAAAGTGAATCGTTGGAGCAGTCTGATGTGCTGGGATCTTGATGGGCTTTCATCTTAGGATCTTAAAAGAAGTAGCCAGTGAAATAGCTAATATATTAATATCAATTTTCCAAAATTCCTTAGATTCAAAGAATGTTCCATTAGATTGAATAACAAATATTATTCCTTATTCAAAACAGGAAGAGAGTCAAAAAAAGGAAACTACAGGCCAGTTAGCTTAATATGTTATGGGACAATGTTAGAAATTATTATTAATGACATTATAGCTGGATACTTTGAAAAGTTCAAGGTAATCAGTCAGAATCAATATAGTTTTATAAAAGGGAAATCATGTTTCTATGAGGAAGTTACATGTGAATCAAGGGGAACTGATAGATATACTGTACTTAGATTTCGATGCATTTGATAAGGTGCAACATAAAAGGTGTTGTGAAAATAAAAGCATAATGTGTACAGGGGGTAGCAAACTGGCATTGAAAAAAGATTGGCTAGCTAACAGAAAACAAGGAGCAACACATGTGCATTATATTTTCTGGTTGACAGGATATATTGACTAGTGTACCACCAGGATCAGTACTAGGGCCTCAATGTTTTACAATTTATACTAATGGTTTGGATGAAGGGACTGAAGGTATGGTTGCTAAAATAAGTTAAGAGGCCATATTCAAAGCTTAAATGACTGGGCAAAGATCTGGCAAATGAATACATGAGGGAAGAAGAAGCATATTATATAAATGGTGAGAGATTGCACAGCAACCTTGTTCTAGTGCATGAATCACAAATTGTTAGTATGCGGGTACAGCAAATGATTAGGAAGCTAATGAAATTTTATCATTCATTACATGGGAATTTATTACAAAAGTGGGGATTTTATGATTCACTTATTTATGACAGCAGTGAGACCACACCTGCAGTACAAGTACTAGTCTATTTACGGAAGGATGTAAATACATTGGAGGCAATTCAGAGAAGGTTTACTACAATAGTTCCTAGAATGCTGTACTGTTGTGTAAGGAAAGGTTAGACATGCTATCTTGTATCTGCTGGTGTTTAAAGAAGAGGTAATTTGATTGAAACATACAAGATCTTGAGATCAGAAGTCACATGACACTAGGTTATAGTCCAACAGGTTTACTTGAAATCACAAGCTTTCAATGCACTGCTCCTTCACCTGATGAAGGAACAGCACTCTGAAAGCTTATGATTTGAAATAAACCTGTTGAACTATCACCTGGTCTCGTCTGACTTCTGAACCCATCCACCCCAGTCCAACATTGGTAACTCCACATCAGCATCTTGAGGTGACTAGCAGGGTGTTTGTGGAAAGGATTTTTCCTCTTGTGGGAAAATCTAGAACTAGGGGTCACTTTTTAAGACAGAGAATGAGGCATTTTTTTCTCTCAGAAGATCTCTTCCTCAAAAGGTAGTGGAAGAAGATTCTTTAAATATTTTTAATCCATGAGGAAAGGCTGAGGGTTTTGAGGCTGTTTTCGTTAGAGAGAAGAAGGTTAAGAGGTGACTTGATAGAGACATACAAGATGATCAGAGGATGAGATAGGGTGGACAGTGGGAGCCTTTTTCCTCGGATGGTGATGGCTAGCACGAGGGGACATAGCTTTAAATTGAGGGGTGATAGATATAGGACAGATGTCAGAGGTAGGTTCTTTACTCAGAGAGTAATAAGGGCGTGGAATGCCCTGCCTGCAAAAATAGTAGACTCGCCCACTTTAAGGGCATTTAAATGGTCATCGGATAAACATATGGATGATAATGGAATAGTTTAGGTTAGATGGGCTTCAGATTGGTTTCACAGGTCGGCGCGACATCGAGGGCCGAAGGGCCTGTACTGCGCTGTAATGTTCTATGTTCTATATGTCAATAGATTTTTGATAAGGAAGGAAGTAGAAGGTTATCGAGGGTGATAAGAATGTGAAGTCAACAGATCAGTAATTATCTCAAGTGGCAAAACAATCTAATTCATAATTTCAATACATTGTAAAATTTGATACTCAAAATTCTGAAGCTAGTATCTTATTTCAAATTTCATCCCCTGTTGCTATTATCTCACCCCCCCCCACTCCCAGTCACTAGGGGAAGAGATTGATTATGAGACCATTATCATCAACATAACAATCACTCATCATGTTTTGTTTAACTCTGCATGCTAGTTTATTTTAAATAGTAAAATACATTATAAGTTATGGAGTGGTTATTACAGCAAACGGAATGATTTTTATGAGTGTGAATTTTGCAGGTCCACAGCATACTAACTGCCAGGCTAGGTCACAACACTGCATACACACAGAACTAGGTATCCTTGAAGGTGAACTCTTTTAAAGGCAAGGTACATATGTAAGAACCCCTCCTTTCCAAAAGTAAGTTTAACAATTTACAATAAATTTATAAGATTTTGGGATTCATTTTAACTGCAATACTTAAGTAAATTGAAAGTTGTCATAGTTCTGGAGAGCTATATACTGCTTTTATTCATTAGAGAGGGACAGTGGATGGTGAATTTAACCTGAGGGTCACCATGCATCAGGTGAGAAGCAAGGCCTTCATGATTATCTCAACCACTGCAGGAATTGAACCCATGACGGTAGTGTCACTCTAT